AAAACTTGTGGCACAGCTTCAGGGACAAGATCACACCATCTACCATTGCTGTGAAGATGGATCTACTAGTACATTATCTATGTCTTGTCCTCCTAGTTTCTCTAATACCATGTCCCCAGATCTATGCTCACATCAATCTCTACAGCTTTACCAACAGCTACACAGTTTTTACATCTGAAAGTATAAGGCCAAAATTGTAATAAAGCACTATCAATTTACTTGTTATATATTGATTTGAGGGCAAGAGAAAAAGGCAGAGACCTCATATCATAATCAAGATAATTGAAAATCAAATATGCATAATCAAATAGCTTTAATTGTACATACTACTGATGATTTAATCTTTTAAACTTCAGCATAAATTTTGACTTTCTCTTGTTAAAGCATAGCCACTTTATCAAAATGTGCTTGAACAAATAATAATAATAGTAATAATAAACAGCTTGCACACATGATGGAACATGGAGGTCAATTGCCACAAAATAAGTTGATTTGTACTTGGTAGCCTGAGAAATAATATCAGGTATTAATTTGAGCAGTAATAATACCACAGAGTTAACAACGACACAAGCATGTGGTGTTATGTAACAAAATTCATGCATTACTTGTCCTCCTCAACCTATCGTGCACCGCAGGTTTTGATTTTCAATGTCATCAAAAATTTTTATTGCTTTTAGTTTGATCTATGTATCTGCTATTCAAATGATATCGTTTGGAAAATAACTAACTGATTTAATTGTGCTTTTGCAACATGAAATTATCATTAACTTTGCCGGTTCACGTGTACACAGTAGGCCCTACCTTGCTATCAGTGCTGCTCTTTTCTCCCCACTGACAGGCTAACCACATCGTTTGAAAACAACGTTTGTATGCTCCTTTACTTTTGGTGTTGGCAGTTTCGCCCCGGGGACATCGTCTTCGGTTAAAAACAACGTATCGTTTTCACCCATCTTTGCATTGCTCCTGTACAAAATGTCCGCTTGCTGCCCCCCCAAGGGAAAAATCGTAGTTACGCAAGACCTGTGACGTATAACGCGCGTAAGGTTATTGCGATTTTGGTTTAAAAACTGAAAATCGGTTTCTCAAATTTCTTTTGTATCTGAGCACCCACGATCACCGTTTTAACGTCTTTTAATGACACCATTTAGTACGCCAAAACCCTGCCCATAAAAACATTAAACAACATCAAATTATCTGAAGAATTGCGTTTTATTGAGTTAATTTCCTCAAACAATGCCTCAAATTTGGCCTCTTTAAACTTTACCTCACTTTCCTAAGACGTCATGCAGTGTCTTCTAATACTTTTATGTTTAGAACATTCCTTCCTATAAATCTTGTAGGTACCATCTTTACCAAAGGACATGTGACAAAATGTATGTTATATATATACACCATAGCAGTTAAATTCTTGAGTATTAGTTTGGTATAAATACATTTGCACATTCAAGCAAAATCCAGCCTCACCGGTAGTCGTCTGGCAAAGACCGTGCTGTTTATCAAACTTGACTCTACATAGCGCACACCGCACATCAGTGCTGTTTTTGCTCTGTTCTCTGGGTTGAATATATACACTACAGAGTTAATACTTAATATGGAATATTTTTTATCATTGTTACTTTTGAGTGCAAGTTTTTTGGCTTCATTTATCAAAAAAAAAAAGTCATTCGGGGATAAAAAAAAATCCAGTCTTCTATTGTGAGATATTTTGGTAAATAATATCAAATATGACTTACCACCAGGGTACAGGACCCACTGTCTTTCAGGATATGCTATTGCAACTAAACAAAAACCACCCAGTCCGTTCAGAATGAGGGGTAAATTGCCACCAAAACGCATATTTCAAGGCCCTTAGCGAACACCAAACTGGTTTTAGCAGGTTAGAATACCAGACGACCTCCGAAGAACCCACTGTAAACAGCAAAACATCTAATCGTTGTATGTTTCTCTTATGAATTGGGGATCATGACCGTTTCTGGGCTGAACACTGAAACCTCGTAACTTTCTTTATTGAGGTCAGATTTCACCTGTACCGCTCAACTAGACAAAACAGAGTTTACATACATCCAGAAGAGGCCAACGTCTAAAGTGTGTGCCGCGTCTAAAGTGACTTAGGTCAATAACAGTGTCAATATTTGGAGTAGATACCACAGTGGTGCCAAAACAACAATGGCAGTCATCAACGAAAACCTGAACCAGATCAAATAAAGGAATAATCTGGGAACCACTTGACTATCATTTGATAGGGGGCACCTTAGGAACAATTTTGTGAGATTGCCGGTTCACACAGAGCACTTTTAGTAGCAGATTACTTACAGAACCAAGGGAATTAGCCGCTACCTTGGTCATCAAAACCGCCATACATGGGTAGGCCATTACTCGCCCAATCAATGGTCTACATGATCGCCAACAAAACTGGACCAAATTGGACAGATTTTGACCGATGCCCTGAATGTTATTCCAGGTAATTTAATTGAACTCTAAAAACCTATCCCAAGGAATGCCTTGCCACTTGAGAGCGCTGGTAGCAGCGCTGGAAGTCAGGCGTAGCAGCGACCGTTACTGTGACAAGACACTGACATGAGGGTCCTTTGTGGAGCGTGTAACTCTTTTACAGAGAATAATTTGGAAAATATTGGGATCCAAAATATGTATTTTAATGGTTGTCGTATGAAGTAGAATAGGCAATGTGTTTTTGTTTGCTTCTCTGGCGAATTCCATTAATGAACTGATGTCACAATGACATCAAAGAGATAATTAAAAGTTATTAGAACACGATTCTAATCCTTATTTTCATTTATCAGTCAGCAAAATAGGAAAAAACTGATGAAAATGATTTGGAAAAAATATTCCATATTAAATGTCAAGTCTGTATTTTGTAGAAATGTACTTGCCAAAAATAATATTCCACATTAAGTATTAACCCTGTATATACACAGTCGTATATATCTAGGATAGGTCTTAGGTACATGGGTTTCCTTACTACAATATAGCTAAGGGTAATTTAATTCAAATACCAGAATCAAGTCACCAAACTAATTTCACCGCCTCTCCTTTGGTATACAAAATGCGATATTAACACGTATCAAATATGTTGGACTAATTTTGACTTGCAAGTGTTGGCGACAGGGACATGGGCATCAATGTGCAAGTAAGCCTTCAATCTGCTCAGATATGTCAAACACGGAAAATATGCCCAAAAGTCTTACAGTTTGCTGACAATCATCACAATGATATTTTCCTCTTCGGTATCCTGAAATTATATCTGTCGTCGTGTGTGTTAATGTGCCTGTACGTGGCCATTCAACAGATGAATCGCCATACGTCTTTTGAAACCACGTCAACCGAATTATACAACATATACATTGTCCAATTACGTTATCCTTATACTTGAAGAATCTAATCTTTTTCCTCGAGAATCAACGAGTTACACTGATGCTAATAAGTTAAGCTTCACTCCGATTTTTTCAAAAGTTTCTTCTATCATGATCATTATTTCATTTGTTGGTGGGATTATTTCTTTCATATTTTACAAATAACTTATTCACGTTGAATATTTCGGTTAAAGAAATACACCACATAGCTTATTGTAATAATCAACATAACTTTATTAACCAAACGGTACTAAAATATGCCAAACCATGTGTCAAAAAAGTATGCTCACACAGCAAAAAGTACGAGCTGATGAAAACAGCTTATTATGAAAAAATAAGTTCAATCATCTAAGAATTAGTTTTAATAAAAGAAGACTGTAGATAATAGATGATTTATCGTCTATTATGCAATTAATATCGGGCGTGCCTTCCCTGGTTTGAACAACAGCTTCACTTTGTCTCCTGCAACTTGCCACCAAATTCTGCCAATCTTGCTTTGGGAGCCGGTTCCATTCTTCATTTACTGCCAGTGACCTTTCTAATGTTTCTACTGGAGGTTGTCTCTCTTTTACTGCCCTGTCAATCATATGCTAAGCATGTTCAATTACAATGAGAATTGGTAAATATGCAGGCCAATCCAAATGTGGGATACCGTGCTGTTGCAGCGCGTCTTGCTTGGACCGTGCTTTCTGGATGGGCGCATAGTCCTGCACCAAAATGATTTTTCTTCCTGGATTTGCTTGAATTTGTGATTGTATACGCCCCAATGGTATCTCGTCTCTGTATTGTTGACCAGGGTACCTCCCTTGAATGACGTACAGTGGCAATTTTTCATCATATGAGAAACCGCACCATACTATGTCGGATACTCCTCCAACCTGAACACGCAGAAGAACACAATCATCCTGAAACGCTTGGTTTGGACGTCTCCAGACGCCTAGCCGACCATCTGCATACATCAAAGTGAATCTGGTCTCAGTCCACAGAACCTTTCGCCCAGTCCTGAGATTCCATCTTTCTCGGTATCTGGCTCATGTCAATCTAATTTGCTTGTGTCTGTTGGTCAACTGTGGCTTTTGACGAGGTCTTTTAGATGGAAGTTCAGCTTCTAAAAGATGCCTGTTGACTGTTTTCCTTCTGATATGAGCCCTTCCTAATCCAGGCCAGATGTTCCTCAGTTGTTTGGCCCATATGAACTGGTCCTGGTGGCATAATCGAACCAGATATATTCATCTCTTGCGTCGGTTAATACTGTTTTACCAGAAAGAGGCTTGTCCAATACATGATGAGTTTGGCACCGTTTTGCTACCAGCTTGGACACTTGACTTGGAGCTACTTTTTTATTGCCTTGCAATCTGTCTCTTTGGCACCACAGCACGATGGCTTCCCATTATTTGCCAGCTGATTACCTCGTTGAGTCCTCTTCTAACTATTGGTTGGTCCAAAATAACAAATTGTGCCCATGAAACTAGCCAAACTGGAAGCTCCTCATGGCATGGCCAAACTGTTTTTCGCAAGTGGCACCCACATTGCATATTTTACCGTGTCCAACAGTAAATAGTACTCTTATGTCACGGTCCAGTAAGTCAAAGTAAAAACAAGAGAAATATCTAGCTACTGTACAAAATTTGCCTGAATAAAAATTTTGGTTGCTGAGAAATTCGAGAAATTAGAAAGTGTTGCTTAACTTATGAGCATCAGTGTAAGTACTTCATTTTCCAGTATATAGAACTAAAATGGACAAGAACTATTCACTGCCCACAAAGTAATTTTAGGCTTTGTCTTGAATAATTATCTTAATTTTGATCAGAAATGATATGATGTTCGTTCAGGTTAAGGCCCGTATGTTGGGTACTTCCCCATAAACTGTAGCTCTTCTTGGCCAGGACGTTATATTTTGCAAATGAAAGGTAGTTTCAGAGTGCATTCCACGTCGTACCACTGAGGGCGTCCCTCCGGATACAGTGCCGCACAGTCCTCCGTGATTTGAAAAGACCCGCGGTTGAACTCGGTCCAGTTCCCGACTGCCCCTATAGATCCGTCGGCCCACTGCCAGTGACCCTCTTCCCAGATATCGTCATAGCCGATGTAGACCAGTGAACTGACGTTTCTGGAGTAGATTACATCAATGAAGGTATTGGTACTAACGAATACCTTACACAAAAAGCTCCCTAAATTATCCATTTTATAACAAACTATTAAAATTCGCATTACAATTATTGCTATAACTCAATGAATCTGGGTTCAATTCTTTTTGCTGCAATGATGCGTGTTCTTACAAATATGATTGCTTGGAAGATATGGAGCAAACCATAGTGTGTATTTGTGTCTGTGTAATTTAATCTTAAAAGAACTCGAGCTATGTTTAATCACCTGCTATTAATTGAAAGGGAAAAATCAGTACAAAAGTTGCTTTTATATGAATGGATCCCGGGAAAAAGAACTACATGTACCTCAACAGGGAACTGACAAAGGATTGTTCTCTTGCAGAGTGGATGCTAACCAGGTTTGAGTCTATGGTGTGGCAATATGTATAGGCATCCATGTACGCCATGCTAGAACTAATGTATTTGTAACAATGGTCATCATGTTTCTGCCATCCGACAGAACAGTTGGTTGCGGAACCTGGGTTAAAAGAAGAAATGCCAAACTTTTATCATAATGCAGCCTGTATAATAACCACAAATCAATATACGGATGAACAGGTGCCAGAAAAAGATAATAATCAACAAACAAACACATACACTCTCTAAAAACACGCAAGCGCGCTTGTGCATGTGATTTTTCAACCACTCTTAAGGCAGAAGTGTTCCTTTATAGTGTGTCGTTCCCTTAAGTTCCTTTTTCACGCAGTTTATAATTACTGAAATCATATATAGCACTAGTAGTGAAAATCATATGAAAGCATTCTACTTCAAGATTAGCTGTCCCAACATTTTTTCAATCATATAAATCTTTAGAAATATACAGTAATTACGTGCAGAATAAGTAACATATTCCACCCCGTAGTGCAATAATAGTATTGGGCTACCTGGTCTCCTGTATCCATTTGAGTAACATTCATTGCTCAGTGATGACGACTCAACACATCCCCTGGTTTTCTTTGAGAACCAAAAGCTGCTGCCACAGCTGGCCAGGAATGGTGATCCTCCACAGACCACAAACTGGACACAGGTTCTGGCCAGAGGTTGGTTCATGGTCGTGTTTGCACAGATAATGCTTGGGACGCTGGACGGGAAGACAGTTGGCCTTACTGTGGTCGTTTGATCTTAATAAGAACAATATGACAGACGTGGATGATTAAGTGCTGCAAGTCGTTTTCAAAGAAAGAGATGCACATGCTCCTTCAATCGAATTAAATAAGCATGCGCACATACTCATTGTCTTACACACAGCCATGCAAAATGCAAGCACCATTGCCTACAACCATAATATAATGTGGTGATCATAATTAAGATGTTCATCATGACAACCTCTAGAATTAGATTCTAAATACCGTACCCCAAGTAATGGACACCGGATATTTCAACTTCCCTCAGCAAATTAAAAAATACACTTCCTTTTTGTGGTCACGGTTTTGTTTTAGTTATGGGGAATTTGGTAGACACAGAAGAACGTGTACCTGAGCAGCGGACTCCGGCGTCCTCCGAGTGGCCGCAGTTGTGAGTACCCACAGTTCTATGGCGACACTCCCACAGCGAGTTTTCTTCCCCGGCGCAAGAAACATCGTCCAACCAGATTGTGCCAACACCAGCACCAAAGCGAGCACTGCCGTACGCAGCAATCGCGTCACTAAAAAGGCATTAGTTGAGTTGTATATAATCATGACAGCGGTGCACAAACATACAAAATAAACAGTTCTGCATTTCAAGCTGATGACTATAATGACATTCACTATTTGACATTTGAATACAAGGTGCAACCAATACATTTATTAATGTAGAGAAAACACTACATCCTTTGATTTCTGAAAAAATCACACCAATTGTCCCCTCTTGAATTTATAATTTTGACTAGCTGAATCATAGTGTTAAAAATCGTTTGCAGGACTGTACCAATCGCTTGTCAACTGGTAGCAGCAAGGTCGCACAGAATATATATGTTTCCAACTTGTGACAGTGCATGTAGCTGCTTTCTCATAAATTTCCTTCTCAAAAGACAAAAAAAAAAAAAAAAAAAAAAAATAGTAAAACGGCTCAAAAAGACGGGACTGCTATAATCATTGGCTTTGTTTACCTAAGAAGTAAAAAAACACTCGGAAATACTGGGTGAGACCGTGAATTGCAAGACGCCCCTTGTAATGCGATTACAAACATTTGATGAAAGAACTTGGACTTGAAAACCAGGAAGTTTTCATTTCCTTCCTTAAAAATAGAGCCAGCAATATTTGTGAACTTTTGACAAGACTACACCCTCTCCAAACGTAACCAGTGCTGTAATAAAAACATAAATTTGCATTCGTTTTAATCCTTATTAATGTTATAAAACTCTTTAATATTTTCCTGTTCAAATACTTGGTCTCTTTGAGGTCGCAAGGCCTGTGCGATTACGGTCACACTGAACAAAAAACTGTGCGACTTGCAACTGTCACCGGTTGCAAAAAGGTCGGCGACCGGTTGCAACAACTCGCGAAGTGGTTTCCAAAAGAACGCTGGTTTAATAACCGGTCGCGCCGGTTTACGGTGCAGCACCGATAACCTCCTGGCGACCGTAAAACCTACTTGTGGTATCCACCCAGTCGGCGACTGCTTTGCAACCGAATGTGTGGTTCTCCCTTTGTGTTTTTAACCTCATGCGTGTGCCTCTTCCAATACAACGTAATTAAATCGAAACAGGTCGTGCGAATCGTTTACTTTTTACACTGTCATCGTGTTTTACCCAGCAAGAAGGAAGATAACCTGACTGATTGTTAATTTATTTGAGATGAAACGTGCCAAACGGTGAAGTTAACCCGAGAGATTGTAATCCAGCTTCTGAAATAAATTTTCTTTGATGCTTTTTAGTATAAATGAGGTTTTTGGTTAAGTTTGGAGTTTAGATCGTAAACATGAACTATTTTCATTGTTTTGACGAGGCCGCCGCCTCAATTTTCAAGTGCATGTGTGGCACCACCGCCTCCTCCTATCCCAAGCCTCTGTGAGACACCCTTACCGTTAAGGTCTACATGTACAACTTTACCGCCGATCACATACGCACTTCCTACCCTCTACCAGGGCGAGTTTTTTTACAGATATTCAGATATGTCTATAGATAGATGGTCATTTTGGTTCTAAGTCACCCGTTTGAGAAATCCCATGTGGAAACAATCATCTCTGCGCGCGCGCCAAAGGCTTTGTACTCATTCTGCATGAGCTAAGCTTCACAACGATGTGATAACTGCTCGTTATGCAACCAGTCTAGGGCTTTTTTTTTATCTGTCACAGAAGAGCAAGTGATTAAAGTCAGAGCAATTAACTGTCTTGATTGCTGTAATTAAGACTTAGGGTGCTTTCCCAGAGATTTAGATCGATCTAAAGATTAAGTTTTAGATCGACCTAACTCCCTGGGGTTCACGCTAAATTGCAGCCAGCCGAGCGGGCACCGTAGTTAATTACCCCCCTTACAGCTTTTAGTAGGCGGGACAGACGCTTAAGCCGGCCAAGCTGACAGTAATCTAGTGAGACTCCCCACAGGGATAGATCGATCTAAAAATCTATGGAAATGGGGTGTTAGACTGGACCTGCTAAGTGGCAGTGCCTGAGCAGTTATGCAAACAATTACCAGCCATGTAATCAGCCTTGAGATTTCTCAACAGGGTGACTTAGAACCAAATGACCATCCATCTATCTAGAGACATATCTGTGAATATCTGTAAAAAAGCCATCAGTCGCCCTGGTAGAGGGTACGCACTTCCTACTCTGTGTGCTACAGAACCAAGGAGTCAGTCTTTCGGCCGGCCACCCTTCGCCTTGTCAAAGTATTTTTGATATTCGGCAACAGGCCAGTTCACTAGGAAACTTTTGCGTGCAGTTAATAGGAAGATTGTTTTCTGTTGATGAACGAATTCAAAAGGCCTGAAATGTTACGGGTGTGGATGGGAGAGATCCAGTATGCAAATATAGACTGAATTATATTAAGGATATGGCCTACAAAATGTTTATTACTGAAACACCTGAGAAGTCTTTTTGGTAAAAATGCATTTCATCCATGAACAAAGCAAATAGAAAAATCAGGACCTACTATAAAAATGAAGTTCGATTGTTTTTATAACATGTACATATAGCAATGACGGTCTGAAGACTAATAAATATTACATGTACAAGTACGAGTCGTGTTTTATTTGATCTTTCATAAATTCATAAATTCATTTATTCAACTATATGTCAATTCAATCAATTTATAGCTAAAAATGTACGCGAAAGTTGCTTTCATCACCGAATCTTTTTGGTAAAGTCACTTTTAAAAATTATTGTTGGCAAGCTCTTATACTTAAAATCTCCGTATCAGAGTAGAGGATCAAATTAGAGTGAAGCCACCGCGTATTAAAGGTCAATTAATGCTTGGACGTACACTTAATTGCGACCGCGCTCAGCTTCGATCTTATCTCAGCGAGCTAGAGTTAGGGTCTTTTGTTAGCAGAAAGTAAGACACGATAATTACCTGATGGGGCAGGGCATGGTACTATTATTAACAGAAACCAAACGGCGCATGGATGACAATGTTATTTCCATGGTTACCGCGCCAGGCCGTATGAACAACCCACAGGGACCCGCAGAGTAAGTAAGGTGATTTTCCGTCGGGTCTGTAGTGAAGATGCCAAGCACTGGAAAGATGTTAAATTGTTTGTGTTGAAACTATTTTTATTTAATATTATTTAACGATCTGTTCAATTATTTGTGGATAATTTTGATGGTTGAAATATGATATTAAATATCAATTATACATTGCTGATTAAATTGTTTTTATTTTCCGTTTTGTCTGCATTCGTGTATTTGTTTCATTGTTTACCCTGATAATGTGGCTTTGCAAATTTTAAATGACATACAGCGATATATAATTAAGGTTTTCGGTATTTTACCTATGATTTTCGTAAAATGATTAAGTAAATAAACTTAGTGTCAAAGATCGTACATTGCTTTTAGCTTCACATTAATTTTTTGGTTTCGTAAGTTTGAAATACGTGGTATATGAAAGCCTTGGCAATTCGTAATAAATCTTGTCAACAAATGCAATTCATGTATTCTTTTTCTAAAATATTATAATTTATGATCTTGATATTTAGAAGGCATACATGACAAATTATGAAAAAAGTATTTGTTCAAATAGACCACCATCCTACGCCTATTCTATTGCAGTCGCTTGCAACCTTCCTGCCACATATTTTCGAATGCCTGCGATCGGTAAAAAACCTCTTAGCGACCAAGAGACTAAAGAGCGTCAATCGACCATGCAGTTACAACTGCAACCTTCTAGCGACCTGCTGCCGACTACTTGCGACTGGTAAAAAACTCGTAAGCGACCAGTCGACTAAATACTGTCAATCGACCGTGCAGTTGCAAATGGTTTGCTACTGGTTAAAGCAACCTACAGTCAACCAAGTAGAGACCGATAGGCAACCTTTAGGGTACCGATATTTTTCATCTTTATTCGCACTGGTTGTCGGTGCACAAAATATGGCCTTCATGTGTCAACGATCGCAGGCGACCTGTTAGCAACCTTATGCGACCCCTTTAAAACCTACGGCAACCTCCTTGCGACTGAGGTTGCAAAGAGGTTGCCAAAAGGTTGCAAGCGCAGTGTGACCCCGGCTTTATATTGTCTTTGCGTGATTACAAGGAATTTTCCATTATCATGTTGCAAACCATGATTCAACATTTCCTTATTAGGTAATTTATAAGGGACTTGTTTTCAATCCAAAATATTAAAAATATTATTTAAATTACTCATGCTTTGCCCATATCCATCCTTAGTTTAACACTTGTCAGAAACTTGCAAAATCCAATCAAATCAGACAATATGTGACTTTGACATGGTCCATCTACCACGAAAATAATTTCTACATTTGTTTGCTCTTAAAGAAATGTAAATTACACTTAATTTACTTTACAACTATAGTTCTAAACCGTACGAAATGGCACCATTCGCTAAATACCAATTTTTCGGGGCACTTAAGCGGCCCCCGAACCCCATAGTTATATATGGGTATCAACTGCAACCAAGGAGACAAAGTGGACAGATGAGTTCGCAGCTGCAGTCATGACGGGATGACGGCATAAATAAACACAACATATATACAGACTTAATATGGAATATTTCAGTTTCGAAGGTATTCCTTGATAAAAATGCGTCCTTTTCTTCAGAAAACTCAGAGCTCATATAGATATCTTTATTCATTATATCGTATGCATCTACATGGGTAGATGAAAATGTACAATAGGAATGCAGTTATAAATAGATATAAATTATATTAAATAGTGATGACTACTTGTGAGAAAAAAAACATATTTGGCAGAGTCCAATTGGCTCTACCTACTCAACTGCCAGTATACTTGTTGGTAAGGGGTGCAGCAAAGTCCCTTTTTTTTTTGAAGGCTTACCATAAATATCTGGCAAGAGCAATCATTTGTTCATTCTTCTTACCAGTCATTAGTGTTTTAAATTTATATTTTCTGGTAAGATGCTCGAAGTCACTATATTGTTTCTGTACACTGAATAAAGATCATATAGGAGATCTGTATAAAGGGGGGCAGGACACTAGGAAATGGATTTCATCTTCCATTGCCCCAAAATTACAATTTTTGCAAATTCTGTCT